AGTGATATCAGCCCTGCTCAGGCTACCTCTGTGAACTGCAGGACACCTCCTCCTATGCTTTAGAGATGCGGAGTGATCAAGGTGTACTGTAGTACTAACACACTTCCTGTACTAACATAATTAAGCTCTTACTCTACTTTATCTATTGAGGAGCAGCATTTTTACCCTAGGACAAAAAGTATATTAGGACTAAAGAGAACATCTACAGCTTATGTTATAGATAAAAGGAGAGGGGAAGGTGTTTTGTAAACTCTGCTTTTCCATACATAAAGTGCAGTGAATGATTGTTTCTAAAGTGTGTTTCTAGTGGACATTCCTTCTAGTGGACATTCATTCTAGTGGACATTTGTTAATTGTCTGTTAATATTTCCTATAAGTATGATGCCTAGTGTTTTTCTGCTCCTTTAATCCTTCTTTTTTTTTTTACTTTTGTAATATTGCATGTGAATCACATTTAGGATAATAACTATTTGGAAATGTTATTGCACTGCTTCCTGTGTTTAATCCTTCCTTGGGTTATGGGAAATGTCCACAAGCCAAGAGAACATGAGAACATGACACAATGCATAGCCACAGTTGATATTTATATTAATGTGAGTATTACATAGTTAATATTTTAAAATGACAATAAACCCTAAAATTCCCCCCTTCCCCCATGCTGCTTTAAGGACTTACCTTAAATGATGACTCTTGATCCGATCATCTTCTTCTTTCCAGTAGTTTCCAGGAGTCCCTCCAGCACTGGTGCCGGTCTCTGATCCAGCGCTGACTCCTGTCTCTTCCTGTCCCATGGAGTCTGTGCGGGTGCACACTGCTGAATTGACTTACCTTGTGTCTCTCCTCTTCTCCTATCCAAAGATCTGCTACTGCACATGCGCCCACCCCATGATCCTTTGTGGCCGCTCGGGAATGTTCAGATCTTCGGATGGGAGCGCGCGGCGGAGACACAGTAAGTTTTCACCCTTTTGTTAACTTTTTTTAAAAATGTTTTTGCATATAGCTACTGCTGGGTAGCAGTAGTTATATGCAAAAAAATGTGAGGCTTTAATAATAATTTAAGCCATTGTTCATTGGCACTACTATAGCTGGTTAATATACTGCCATCTTGTGGTTATTTTGGTTATTGCAACATCTTTTACAGTGTTCCCTCCCATTTATGAAGTATTTCCCCCTTCTGGTCCAAGTAGTCCTTTTAGTGTTATGGCTGGTTGTTTCATGCCCACAAGTAATTTGCTTGCATGGGGGAAACATTAGCGTCTTTGACCTGCAAATACTGTCATTTATATCATCTGAGAAGCAAGGTAAGTCTATGGACGCGTGCACCCGCATGCAGACACCGCTGGATCGGAAGTGCCTGCAAGCAGAGAGGAGTCAGCGGAGAGCCGCCGCACCGCTAGAGGGACAGATGAAAGCATCAGGAAAGAAGAGGAAGATCGGATTAAGAAACCTCATTTAAGGTAAGTGCTGACATTAACATGGGGGGGGTTTTACTTTAATGTCACTTTAAGCTCAGAAGAAAACTGGTTCTGCACCATGGAGAGGGTGAGTCTGCAGGGGACAGCACCAGAGAGGAGGTAAGTGTTGCAGCAAAATCTGCTTTTTGTTATATTTTTGGAACGGCTTTTAAAAAAAAAAAGTAACAGTAGTAAACGCTTTAGGATACTTTTGACAGGAGATGCCTCTCTAGAGGTTCTGATTAGAATGTCTGTACTTTCCTTTTATCTTAGCAATGTTTTTGAATTCTAGGCACCAGGGATCCTGTTACTCTAGTGTTCTATGTTTAATAACACTTGATATGTTTCATTCTTTTTTCTTAATTTTATCACGTCTTGGTTATAAATATTTTTTGCCCTTTAAAGTGATCTATAAATGCAACAACAAATATGGCTTATTGCATTTGTTGAAATAAGTAATTTTGTTACAACAGATGTCATTCTTATTATAGTAATTGACAATCCCCCCACACAATGGAACTTAGCAGTTAGCATACAAGCCCTACATATCATAGAGAAGCGAAGATAATGGAGTGTTTGATAGTGTTCATCTGAATGTATTCATAATTCTTACAATTCCAGTAGTCACTTACTTTCTGTCCTGTATATACACACCGCACGCACACCCCTCAACTTTTTTAAATCCAATGTATATTGTATAATATATAACAAGAAGACATACTAATTCCACAATGCTCACAGCACAGTGTAAAGAGGGTTTCACAGAGACACCAAAGGTAATCTCAATAGGCTACAGCTCAATAAAAGAAAAAACACATTCAGTATGCCCATACACAATTAATCACTCAACATCTTCATAAGGTAATAGGCTAAGGGCAAAGAAGAATAGCAGTATAATAGCACAAGTAGATAACTAGGAAGGGAGTAGACGTATAAGATTCGTTTTGTTCCGAATTGAAATTCGTACGAATATCGTACGCATATTCGGACATTCAGAATTGCATACAAATTTCTGAATGAAATAAATAACAAATCCGAACGTATTTACAATTTTACTGTATTTGGTGAATGAGTAGGGGTAACAACTACCCCTTACTCATTTACAAGGTGGGGGGGGGCGGCACCTGGGTTCCCCCTCTACGAACGGAGGAACCCAGATTCAGATAAGCCCCCTGCCCGCAGACCCCCACAACCACCTGGCCGGGTTGTGGGGAAGAGGCCCATGTCCTCCTCAACATGGGAACAAGGTCCACCCCTGACAAAGCACCCTTCCCATGTTGAGGGCATGTGGCCTGATATGGTGCAGGAGGCTGATGATCGGATCAAGGGTCTGGTACGGGATTTTAGGGGGGACTCCACACTTCTTTTTGGGTGTTGGTATATATTGGGGAAGGGGGGGGGGGGGCCTCTACATGCTGGTTTTTTTTTTCCTTTTATTGTTTTTTAATGACCTGTCAAAAGTTAAAAAGCAAAATGTCACTTTACTGCAGTGACAATTTGTTCGTAAATATCATTTAATTCATCCGGAATTAACAAAAATCCCGATTTGTCCAAATCCGAATCCCGGAACTAAATGACTTTCGGATTGGAATCCCAAAAAACAAAATAACGAAAAATCCAAAATGATCCGAAACAATCTTTTTGCCAGCTTACATGTCTAGAAGGGCGCATCAAAGGAAAAGAAACAAGAAGAAGCAGAAGAAGTGGGTAGATGTAGGTACACAGGAAGCATGGTAGAGAGGAGGAGAAGCCACACAGTGCACCAGGTCATGAAACCATGGTGAAAGGTCACGTGCCCCATACAGCATTACATTTATCTAACATGTTACACAATCTTGTTGTTAGGTTTTCCATTAGTCTGACCTCTTTGATCTGGTTTAATAAGTTCAAAAAGGTGTGTGTGTGTGTGGGTTGCTTGCTCCTGGGTCCAGATGCCGAACGCTCTGGAACGCAGTCTTTGTGGTGTGAACTGGCCCTCAGAACACAAGACTGACAAAACAGAACTACAAATCTTTAAAGGGTATCTATGGTCAAAAACTAAATGAAAAATGTATTTCTATATTGAATTTCTATCCCACTAATAACCGCAGGAAGTGAAAACTCCTCACCATGACCAGAGACCAAAGCTCACCGATATGCAAATAAATATCTGTTGGCAATGCTGGATTGCTTTTCTGTTGGTGAATTTTAAAGGGGAACGGGGGTGAATTTTAAAGGGGAACGGGGGTGAATTTTAAACGTTCCCCTTTAAAATTCACCAACAGAAAAGCAATCCAGCATTGCCAACAGATATTTATTTGCATATCGATGAGCCGAAAATGACACTTTAGGCAAAATGCTGAAATTGCAGTGCATGCCTGGTTTATCTCCTCCCCGCTGGGCGTTGCTCTATGTCCCCTCTGACACAACCCAGCTTCCAGCGGGTAGGAGAGAAACTGTCACAGAGGGCCGAGTTGTGCGAGGGAGAAGAACGCTTTGAATGGCCAGCGCGTCATAAGAGGCCGGACTCTCCTCCCGCAGTCAGCTGTCACATGAGACTGAGCTCTCCTCCCCACACCGCTCCCTCTGCCTCCTGTGACAGCAAGTCAGGATGGAGAGCAAGTACAAGCAGTCAGTGATCAGTGATCGCTGAGTGTTTGTAAATAAATCAGGACAGAGCATGTTTACTGTGTCCCCAATTATGAATGAATGGGAAGTGATCTACATCACTTCCTGTTCATTCATAATTGTCGACACATTAAACATACTATCTCCATAAGTTATGAATGAACAGGAACACTCAGTATAGAGGATTCCTGTTCATTTATAACAGTGGCTGCAGAAAAAGAGATTGAGGACTGTGTGTCCTCAATCCCTTCTTCTATTTTAAAAGGGAAATATCAAGGGTCTGTTTAGACCCCTAATATTTCCTCGAAGCCCCAACAGTAAAGTAAAAAATACAAATATTTAATAAAAATAAATAAATAAAATATTAAAAGTTTATAAAAATAAAATAAAATAAATAAATATTTAAAACAATTTGAAAAGGTTAGAAAAAAAAAGGTTTCACTTTCGGCCTGACATTTTTATTTTTTTTACTGATTAATAACAGAAATATTTATTTTGATATAAATTTATCCTATAGAAGTAATTAACAATTAGACCGTATGGTCCCATATGGTTCAATAAGAAAAGGTTGGTGTCTTCCACCATAAATCATTAGTTTAAAGCATAAAAATTGAATTGACCAAAATTGCAGAGACTATGGGGTTTTGGACCACACTTTTAATCTCTTTTTTGATAATATATTTGTATTTGTATACAACCACCTTGTAGGTAATATGTCGTTCATGTTCACTGATCATAATTGTGCACTTTTTGATATGCACACACACCATCAGGGTGTTATATGTTTGTCGGCCTGACATTTTAAAACATTTTCGGTTCTGTTTTGGTTTTAAAACTGTAATTTCCGTGCACCTCTACAAGAAAGCATTTTCTTATAAAACTACGCCACCGTCTGTTCTCGCTTACCGCTAATCAATTATTACAGCAGCCTCTACTTACGAACAAAAGGCAGGCTTTTTTTTCTCGAATCACGGCACAGCATCCGAAGAATCCTGTTAGCATGACCACGCCTCCAGCGAACAGCAGGATGTATGCGGATATTGAGAGAGTACTGTAGGCAAGGAAAGATATGTAACTGCTTTTCTCCAGCAAGGTCCACAATCCCATTGCAATGGCTGCGGCGCCACCAATCTGTGCAAGAAAGAGAGACACACACGTTACCACAAGCTCTGACTGGCGTGGGGGGGGGGACACCTGAGGTGTGTTCAGTTGCTCAGCCGCTGCGAGTGCTGAGTTAGCAAACTGCCACTGAACGCTGTGCTGCAAGTCAGCGCTGCTAACTTAGCATTGCAGCGGAAGTGAATGTGGATGCAGAGTGCTGAGTGTGACGGAGAAGGTGGGGACAGAGCAACAGCGGCCATTTTAACTGTGGGCACACCTGGCAGTGCTGGAGAAAGGTGCCTGAATTCTGGAGGAAATCAATTTAGCGTGGGAACCTACAATTTCATGTTTTGGTGGACTGGCACACCAAATATTTGTTGGAAAATGGTACTTATTAGTCAAAAATATTATTCTCCGACATTTTGCTTAGCACTGTGCAGCCAAAGCGTTTAGTGAAGCTGCTGCAGCAAACTGGAGTGCACCAGAACAGCTACTCAGCGCTTGGCTAAAGAACTGAACATGCCTCTGATCTTTCTCAGTTCTGAAGTTTCACTTTCACTTATAGGTTTCCTCTCCACCCTCCACCCTGTGACTAGAAACCAGAAGCAGGAAGCTGATTAACTTATTTCTCTAAGGGTGAGTGGGGATAAGGCACTGGACCACAAATTTTCTCTAGACGAATAGGAGCAATTTTTGGACCTGATGGCTTGGTTCTGGCATCCCTTCACAAAGTGGGGGGGCCCTCCAGAAGGAGGGGACGCCCAGACTGACAAATCCACATGAATGTAGACTAGAAAAGAGTGCCAGGTAATCATTTGAAGAGTCCAAGAAACCCATTATTGGCTTCACAATGGTGACAAGAAGATATGCAGAGCCAACGCGTTTTTGGGATCAAGAATCCCCCTTCATCAGGGCTGGACACTGATGGACTCTAAACTTACAGCCCCTGCACACAACCCTTGGTGTGAAAAGATCTTTACCAAAGGTCACTTGCCCACCATGCAGACTTGCAAAGCACGTCACTGCTCGCTGCTTTTATGTGCATTTGTCATGCATAGGCCAGCTTATTGAAATGGAGGGATGGCGTATGCATGACCCACAACAAATGCGGCAAAGAAGCTCATGGACCTCATTCAGCTTAAAGTTTCCCACATTGTTTAACTGTAGGGGCTGTTTATAATCAACTGCTACTTTTCCCAGAAATAGAGCAAAAATTAGCATATGTACTCGACTAATAATGAATGAGCTGAACTCCGTCCCAGTAAAGTAGGTCAGAACTGGATATAGGAAGGGAAATGGATTTCTGTCCTCTTGTACTGTCCTCTGTCTTTGTTTCCACCATGTTCGCATTTTCCTTCTATACAGAAGAGAGTTATTCAACCATTTTAATTGCAACCTTTATAGCTCAATCCATAAAGAATGTCCTTAAGAAAAGTGACTGCGGCTATAGGCAGATTACACATGTTTCTTATTTTGGAAAATGCTGTTTACAGTCAGGCCTATTCCCCATTCCCCTCAGGGTAGATCTTTCTCGCGACACATTAAATATACATAAAGATGTAAGTGTTAGCTGACCGAAGAGATTCAAAGTAATACATTATTGAGCAAATATATACATACCCTACACAGAAACAACCCTCCCTTCTGTATAATACTGAACAGAGTTATAGTGAAATCCTGGAAAAATACCCTTCAAGTATCCAGATATTTACATTTACTAAGCTTTTAGAGATGTTACTGAAGATTTTTTACCTTCCTTTGGTGTAAGGTGGGAGATAATGATAGTGGCTAGACATGTGTGATTCGTTTAGTTCCGAATCACAATTCGGATGAATTTTCCGGAATTCGGACATTCGGACACATCTGAATTTCCGAATCACAATGCATCTAAATGTGTCTGAATCCGAATTTCCTTCAAAAACTAAACTTTTCTGGCCAATCAGATGTGTTTTTCGGTTTAATGCATCCGAATGGGTTCGAACACAAATTATTTCGGGTTTTGGAGCCTCAGCTTTAGTAATATATATATGGCTCCCAGACCTGAATGGCATTCGGGAGCTCCGGAATGCAATTTGGAAATTCGTATCCTGAATGCCATTTCTTGTCTAGGAGATTCAGCTTTAGTATTCATACCTGTATATGGTTTTCTGTGGTATTCGCAAAGAAAATTTGTAAACTCATCCGAAACTAACAAAATGCTGATTTTGTCCGAATCCAAAACCTGAAACGAATTGAATTTCGGATCCGAATTCCCGAAATATCCGAACCGAACTGATTTTTTCTGCAGCTTACATGTCAAATGGTGGCCTTATTAGACCTTACCACAAGTGACTGTTAAGGGCTCATTCACACTGGAATCGGCCCGCACTTACAGCTCTGTGCTGCGTGCATGGCCAAACCGAGCAGCTCCCGGGAAGGACAGGTGCTGCGTGTGATTAGTACCCAGCCCCAGTCCTTCTCTATGGGACTAGGCGGCCGTACGTCCCCCTATGCTCGTCCGCCCTGCACGTCCGTGCGGGTGAGTGTACTCGTACACTGCCAGGCTAGATCCTGTCTGCATCCGAGCCAGGAAACACGCACCCCTACGGACCTGCACTTGAGGTGTTGAGTGTTTTCATTAGCGATCCAAATTATTTTAACCCATCAAAAATTTTAACGATTAATTGACAAATTAATCTTTAATTTCCACAGCCCTAAACAATAACATTAGCATGTTAACAAGGAGGGAAGGGAGGAACCAGGGGAGGCAAATTATGAACAGATTAAACTTCAGCATTAAAGCAAATCTAGAAGCCTATAGAGTACGGAAGGGTTAGGGCCACTGTCAGTGTTTTTAATTGCTGTGGCCTCCATTTGGGAGATTCACCCTCTTCATCTATCCTGGGGACCATTATAAGTCCCTGTTCACACCTAGGCATTTTTACTACCAAAAAAAGCATTGCATTCCTATGGGGCATGTTGAAACCTGCGCGTTCGTATGCATGCACAAAAATGCGCGTCATGGGAAAAAAAGTACATTCACGATTTTCGATAGATTTCAGCATGTTCTATCCCAAAAAGACTGTAGTGTAGTCGCGAATGCGTGTCTATTAAACATTTGGCGTTTAAACGTGCTGAATTACAAATGCCTGTGTGTGAATGGAGACTGATAGAAAATGGAAAAGGACTGATAGAAAAAGGAAGATCCAGATTTTTTTGAGTTGACATCAGACCAAGAGGTGAGGGTACATTTTCCACTGGGGATAGCAATTTCACTGACAATTGTCTATGGTCTCCCTCTCATTTTGTAGAGATTTTCACCTCCTGTTGTGAGAAAGAGGACATATACAGGCAGCACACAATAAACTGGCAAGGGTTTTAACCCTTCCCTGCTCTTTCATTGTAGGCTGAGTCCTTAAGGTGATATTAAAGCCTAATTTATTTATTTGTATTTCTCCTTTAAGGAGACCCTCCTTTGCTGGAGGCTGTTGCTTTTTTTCTTAAAAAGTTTTCAAATTCCTCGTTTTCTAGTGGATCCCCGCAGCGCTCTTCCCCACGCCCGCTGCACGCGGGCCACCATCGTTCTAATGACCATAGACACACACACCCATGTGGCAGGCCACGCCACTTCCCTCTTTGATTGATTGCAGAAGGAGTCTATGGCTCCTCTGCCATCAGAATCCTCCTCCCGCAACCAGGAAGCTCGGGGAATGGAGGATAGCTTTGGGACCGGCGGTGGGGACGAGCGCATCTGACAGGTAAGTGTGCGGGGGGCTGGGGTATAAAAAGGTGCTGGGCCGTTTTTACCATAATGCAGAATGCATTAAGGTAAAAAACGCCCAGACCTTAATGCTACTTTAAGAGAGCATGCTGCATTTACCCATCTATACAAATCCTTTGGCTGGTAAAATCATTCACAAGTGCATTTAGCTGCTTGCCTGGAGTTTGGCTTTAAGACCAGACAAGTACAGTCCATAATACATTACATTCTTGCATGATAAACATTAGGACATTTTAAATACTTACAAGCCCAGGCGAAAAGAACTTTTCCAGCTATAATTGTGCTTTGAAAATGTTAAATATTTCTGTCTCTCTTGCCGAATATGCTGTTTAAAATGCAGAGAGCAATTTTGGTTTGTGCTCGCATGTCAAGCGGAAAATTCTTTATCTTCTTTGAAATATTTCTGTTTGTCAGCTAGTAAAGATCCAAGGCAGCAATTCTGTTTTTAAATCGTATCAACTGTAACAATATTCGAATAAGAATATTAAAGTGGGCCTGTACTGTGGAAGCTGTGCCCAAAAATGGCAAGCAGAGGGCACAAAAATGGTTACTAGAGTGATCTCTGCAGTTGATCTTTCTTTATTTTACACTGTGTCTTCATGTGGTGACGGCCATCTTTCCTCCCTATATCAGATTTGTTACCCTGATGATAGGTTGTCTAATAACTGGTAGGACAATATTCATGAAACAGCAGGAGAGGTGGAGAAAGTATAGATCCACAGAATGGATGAAGCCGAAGCAGGGAGATCCTTGCACTACAGGTACAGCTTCCTCTCCAGCAAGGAGAACAATGAGCGGTACAGTAGTGACATCATCAAATGTCAATCCAAATCTGGTGAGACTTGGAATGACAGGTCTTCTTACCCTATATAAATATCATTCTGTAGGCTATCAGCTAACAAATGAGACACTCCTTCTGCAAAGCTGATTTTAACTTTAAGATGAGATGCAGAAGAATTAATTACACCAAGTGAAGGAAAATCCATTTTTGGAAGAATAAATACATAAACTAAATGCTGGTTTTTAGACATTTCATTCTTAAATTAGATTGTTAGCAAATTGTTTCTAGTTTGGATAGAAAATTGAAGGGTTAATTTTAGGGATGCACCGATACTGATACTAGTATTTGCTCCCAATGCCTATCCCGATACCGCAACTTCCTGTATTATGAAGCCAGGCGGATGAGTCATTACACTGGCCCCCTTGGTGATCAGAGAGCATGGAGCCGGCTTCCTGGTCAATCAGGACGCCAGGCACCACTGCCCGGGTCCTAATTGGTCGGGAAACAGACCAATCAGGGAGCCAGGCAGTGAGTCATTCCCTGCCCCCCCCCCCGGCTTTCTGATTGGCCAGAAAGCCAGCTTCATGCTTCCTTGTCACCTGGTGAATATATTAGTACCCAGTGGCGTAACAACCGCCATAGCGACCCAGCCCATACCCATATTCGATACAGAAAAACCGGTATCGGTGCATCCCCACTTTATTTGCAGGGAGACAGCTGAATAGTAGGGAGATCAGGTTACACAGACTGCTTGATGAATGATTCATAGGATGGACATACCCCCCCTTCCCCCTTTCCTTGCAGAGACAGGTCATCTACATTAGTCTGTGCTAGGCGTTCACTCAGCAGACTGTCATGAATGTAGTCTGTATTATTATATTAGGATTTATATAGCGCCAACAGTTTGCGCAGCGCTTTACAATATAAGGAAGACATTACAATCACAATACAATTCAAGACAAGATTTTTTTGAAATATGACTATTGTACTTAAAGTAGAACTTCAGGCAATGTTTTTATTAACCCTTAACTGCTCGTTTTGGTCTACAGAGGATAATAACAAAGTTATAGTCACCTGATCCTCCAAACCGACTGACTGTGGCAGCACTCCCTCCTGCCTCTCTCCTCCTCTGCTGCAGTGGTGGTACGTCTCTCGGCATCCTCATGTCCTATACACTGTGTATAGGGCCTTAGACTGCTGCAGCAGAATGGGAGTTTTGCTGGAAGGACTGGAGAGAATCGGACGAGTATATTTTTAAATATATTTTCCTCCCTAGACAAAAATGATCAGTTAACCCTTGCAGTGTGGGGTATCCCCACTGTAAGGCTAAATAAAAATTTTGCCTGGAGGTCTTTCCATAATTTAAAAAGGCATAAAATATCTGTTTACAAACTTAACAACATGTAAGATTTAATTGACCTAAAAATATTCTACTGTTCGTTTGAAAACAGCCAGTCATTGTGTAGCAGACAAAAGACAAGAATGTAAAGGCCTAGGACCAGTGCCGTCAGAAGCTTCTCACACAGGTATTCTGCTGGATAATATATTATTTTGAAACTCACCCAAAAGAAGAAGTTGAAGAGGAATAAGAGATATTTTAGGCAGATTGATCCCCTCTCATCCTTCTCCTCGTCCTGTGCATGTCCCATTGCGGCAAAATCTAAAAATAAACAGTTTATAGTTTACTAACCGCTCCATGTAATTTATATGCATCTGGTAAATAACGTATTGATTTTCCTTCCTCTACAGATCTGTAAATATCAAAGTGGGACAAAAATCATTTCTCATTACAAACACTGGGAGGACATATAAAAACTTGGGAGCAAGCAAAAATTGAAACGTTAGAGGCAGCCGCCAATAGGTATCATTTGGATTCCCTTTTTCCATGTTTTGTATGTGAGCGATATTATTAATCGGTTATATTTATCAATCATGAATTTCTATTTAATGTATTTTAAATTTGATATTTTTTTGAAATAATACTATATTTTGTTATGCATCAAGTCATGTGATCCCCGTGTCAGTGATGACACGATGATCACATGGCTTGGAACCTAAGTATTATGGTTCATATTAGGGTTAGCATTAGGATAAGGATTAGAGTTTGTGTTAGTGCTGGCATTATGCAGGGCATAACAACACATGGGGCCCCCCGAGCAATACACGATTATGGGGCTCCCTTATACTCCGCCCATATACAAGCCATACCCACAAGCCCCACCTGCATAAACATTCTTGTGTTACAGAAATTATTTGTCCACACTATTTTCAAAACAGTGCGCCAATTCACTAAAAGATGAATAGATGGCTATAGAGGACTACAAATCCCAGTAATACATTATACAGCGCAATGCAGAATACCTCCAGCAATAGTACATTATAGCTGGCGGTATTCTGTATTGTGCTGTATAATGTACTATTGCTGAGATTTGTTGTAGTCCTCCATAGCTGGTGGTATTCTGCATTGCGCTGTATAATATATTATTGCTGGGATTTGCAGTCCTATATACAGCGCAATGTAGAATACCACCAGTTATAGAGGAGTACAACAAATCCCAGCAATAGTACATTATGCATACAGTGTATAATGTATTGCTGGGATTTGTATTCCTATGTATAATATACAGCACAATGTACCATCAGCTATAGAGGAATACAAATCCCAGCAATACATTATAGAGCACCAAGTGGGGGGGGAGGGAAGTGCAGGCTTACCTGAGCAGTCTTTCAGCAACTTGCTTCTGAGATCGGGCCTGTCTGTCGGCGGCGGTCATCTCCTCGAGCCTGATCCTCCTTACTTCTCCCTGCGTCCCTGTGCTGATCATGGATGTAGGCGAGCGGTGAGTGTGAGGCAGGGAGGAGGTGTGCTGTGTGGAGCGTGGATGCAGGCGGGCGGGTCTAGCAGCGGCACGCCGTGAGGCGGGGAGGAGGTGCGGCATGTGGAGCGTGGATGCAGGCGGGCGGGTCTAGCAGCGACAAGCGTGAGGCGGGGAGGAGGTGCGCCATGCGACGTGTGTGGAGCCATGAACTGGGCCAACTAATCGAAAGCCGATAATCGATGACTGAAAACTTGGTCGATTAGTTGTTGCAGCTCCACATTCATCCCCGATTTCTGGGGCAGTACCCAGATTGAGGAGAGCATCCTCTGACAAATGATGTCCTCATCATTGATGTCCGCAAGCTTCTGACAGCGTGGGAGACTTGATATTAACCCCTTCTTTTGATATGTTTTCTTGTTCAGAAATGGCAATCAATGTCACAGGAAAATGTCATTTGTTAGGGTCATTGTAGAGAATGTCACACATAACGATCCTCTGATTCAGGGAGGAAAATGCTGCATATCATGCAACTCAGTCGCAAAGGAAACAACAATACCAAAGGACCATCTTAGAAAAAACTACAGTGTTAGACATTTGCCAAAGTGACAAATAAACATGTCTCACAATGACCATTTTGGGTAACAAAAATGCCACACATGGTTCTGGACCTAGATAAAGTGCCCTTCAGAACTTCTGCCACAGTATTGAGGAACCTGGCCTTGGGGCAGCAGAGAGAGTAAATCCGGCCCTGTTTGCACACCTGTGAATTGAACCCGAGCATGTTCACCCATCACTAGTGAAGAATAGTGGACATAAATGTAATTAAATAGAGGCCAAGAAAAAATTGTTTACGCAGCAATTATATATGTTATGTCAATGTTTAAACAAAAGTGGAGCTACCCTTTAACTGTTATTAATAATGTAGTTAAATTTGGCTTTTCACTTCAAAAATTACTTAACGTTCCAGCTTGATGGAAGTGAATTATCCGAAGACCATTTAAGCTCATTTATAATTCATCAGCCTGATCAATATAGAAGTGTTGCAGGATTCTCTCTATCATCTCCACCACTTTAAAGGAAACGTGTACTGAGAAGAACGTGGGGGCAGCCATTGCTGACCTCCTTTTTGCCTGGTTGTTATACTGACCCTGTGGTTTCAGTACATTCTGAGTCACTGACCTGGGACCAGTAAGCATATCAGGAAATTTGCATATTTGTTATGCATCAGTGACTCAAAATATTGTTGGTATAGGAACAGCATGATATGCTAGGCCACTTGCATTTTCATAAAGAGCAGCAAACAGGGCCGGATTTCCCACAAGGCCAACCAAGACCCGGCCTTGGGGCAGCAAGGAGCCAACCAAGGCCCGGCCTTGGGGCAGCAAGGCAGCAAAATGATTTTATTTGTTACGCAATCTATAAATCCAAAAGGTCTATGTTACCTGCTATAATCACAAAAATACGTCTTAGATCAGTGTTACTTAAATAAATAGTTAATGTAGATGAAAAGTATAGATTTTATTCTGCAATATATCCTTTTTAAGATCACACTAAAATTAGAATTCTGGAACAAAGCATTGCAGAGTTATTTTATTAGAAAAGTTTAAATATTAATGGTTAGAAAAAAAAAAAAAAAAAGATTATCAGCTGGAAAATCATAGATAAGGGGAAAGAGGAAGAGAGGAAGAAAGTATTAATTAGGGCTAATTATGGTAAACTAAGGGTATACAAGTGTAAAATCTGTTACACATTTTATTTAAAAAACTGTTTTTTTCTTGTCAGGTTGCTTTAGCTGACATCATATGCAGATTGAAAGTCATCTTTTTGATCTGCAGATGAATGAAACGTTACTTTGGATCTCTGTATCTCGCATCTGAAGAGTGTCTAAAAACAATGTCAGACGGCCGGGGGTTTTTCCCTTTTTTTGACGGCAACAGCTATTACAGCTGCTGCATTTACTCAGCAACTCTCGGCTATCAATGACAGCCGAGAATTGTCATTAAATGTGGGAGCGGCATCAGCGAGTTGGGAGAGAGGGTAGAGGGCGACAGACATCTAGGACAGTATAGAACTCCAGACTCACCAACAACTTCCCAGCTTCACATTACCGAGGGCCTTTAAACTGATTGCAGTAAAATTGTGCATTGGGGAACCTTTTCTGGTCAGTAGATATAACACAGAATTCCCTAGGCTAGATACCAGACTTTCTGCAAGGTCCAAACCCATCCTAGCTTCTCTGGCAGCTCCAGCAGACTAAGTTCCTCCCTGGGTCTCCATCCCTCGAACAGATCAATACCTGACCAACTGCAGGCTGCAGGCCTGGTCAGACAGCACAGACATCTCTCACCTTCCCACAGGCAGAATGCCTGGGGGGAAAGAAGAGAACTCACAGGGTCAGCCCCGAATATTTATGCCCTACTGGCCATGAACCTCTTAGTGATTGACTAGGGCAGTGGTGGCGAACCTGGGCACTCCAGCTGTGCCAAAACTACAAATCCCAACATGCATCTGCCTCTGGGAGTTATGTCTGTGGCTGTCAGAGCCTTGCAATGCCTCATGGGACTGGTAGTTCCAAAACAGCTGGAGTGCCAAGGCTCGCCACCACTGGACTAGGGAGTCACAGATATTCATAACACACCATTATTGTATGCTCTGCTCTGTGGCATGGTCACACCCAGCAGCAGGCAGATGCAGACAATGAACGAGTGCTTAGGAGTAGGGATGCACAGCTACCAAGGTCTCGTACTCGGTACAAGTACTGATACTTTTCCAGCTCCAAAACTAGACTAGAGAAAAACTCAAAAGTTAGGAGGCAGTGTCATTTTTAAGGAGCATTGGTTACGGGGCTCCAGGGATTTATACATCTCTGTTTTTATGTATGATTTGTTTTATATTCATATACATTAAGGATTCACCAATACCATTTTTTCCAGACCAAGTACAAGTACCAATACCTGTCCAAGTACTCACAGAAGACCAATTACTGATACATTTGTGTTTAGTGTCATGTGACAGTTTTTCTAAAACAGTACAGACTAATATTTTCAGGACAGTGGTGGGGTGCCAGGGCCCAGTCGCAGCTGCAACCGCTGTGACCCTGGTATTTCTTGTGAAAATGCCAAGTATCAGCATTGTTATCTAAACTGGCAACTGTGCATCCCTATTTAGGAGAAAGCAAATGAGCTCAGACTATCAAATTAGCTAGACTGGATACAGTCAAGCAGATCTAAATTTAAGGAGTGACCCCGCTTAGGGCAAGGTGGCTACACAAAGATCTGAGATTGCTCACAACAGTTATACAAAGATATGAGATGAATCACGACAATTATACAAAGATATGAGATGACTTAGTTATACAAAGAACTGAGATGGCTCAAAACAGTTATGAAAAGATCTGAGGTGACTCAAGACAGATATACAAAGATCTGAGGTGGCTCAAGACGGTTATACAAAGATCTGAGATGGCTCAAGATGGGTATACAAAGATCTGAGGTGACTCAAGACGGATATACAAAGATCTGAGATGGCTCAAGATGGGTATACAAAGGTCTGAGGTGGCTCAAGACGGTTATACAAAGATCTGAGATGGCTCAAGACGGTTATACAAAGATCTGAGATGGCTCAAGATGGGTATACAAAGATCTGAGATGGCTCAAGATGGTTATACAAAGATCTGAGATGGCTCAAGATGGTCATACAAAGATCTGAGATGGCTCAAGATGGTTATACAAAGATCTGAGATTGCTCAAGACGGTTATACAAAGATCTGAGATGGCTCAAAACAATTATGCAAAGATATGAGATGGCTCATGACAGTTATGCAAAGATCT